ATCAAACATTGGTTATTTTGTAAATTTTAATTAGTTTTTTATGTTTAGTATACAATGTTTTTATGCTTATTTATTTAAATTAGATTTGTATTGGTAGTAAACAAAATTCGTTTAGTTGTAGACCAGTGTAATAATATTAAAAAAGCAACAGATTAGTAAATTAAACTTCGATTCAATAATGACAAAAGCAAAATATTTTTTTGAGGCACACGCATGTAATTATTAAAAATAATAACTATTATTTAAAATAAACTATTAATTACTATAAATTTATGTCTATATATTTCTAATATCAACAAAAAAATTCATATTTAAACTTGTTACACTGATAGAAGGATTTGTTTATATTTAATGATGTTTGTTAATATCATAGGGTTTAATAAATATTTATTAACAGTTTATAAATTATTTATAAAATACGATTTATTAACTGTTAATGAATATTTGTTAACTTTTAACAAATATTTATTTAAAATGAATAGCAAAAATAGCAATTTTCTTTTGACACTTTTTATAACCCTACAGCTAATACATGATAATAATTCAATTCACTAAATAAATTAACATTTTTAATATTTTAAAATATAAAAGATAATTATCAGCTGTGATAAAATTTGTTATGTTACAGTAAACGTTATTATAAAATAATATAATCAATGTAAATAATTTGTAAAGATGATTTTTGTTTATAAGCAATCTTCATAACATAAGTATGACATTACAAGCGAAACACAAATTCACTCAACAAAATATTTATTAACTGTTAATAAATATTGGTTAAATATAAATAAATACTTATTAACTATTAATAAATGTACTCTTTTCTCCTAAATAAATTAAATTATTAATAGCTAATAAATCCTTCCCTTGTGGAAATTTTTCGGACTTTTTTCAGAAAAAAACTTCTAAAGACTTTTAAGAGTTTTCGAGGTTTTTTGAGAAAAAAGTCCGAAAAATTTTCATAAGGGTTCTATCAGTGTACAAATTTAAACTTGACTCAACAATCATCTTATTTGAAACACATTAAACAATAAGCATAAATACTTCTTTATTACTAATAATTTAATAATTATAAATTATTTTAAGTAATAACACTTAGTTATGTAAACATAATATTATCACGTAAACATATTTATATTTTTATTTTATATAGGTTAGAAACTTACAATAGTGCATGCGGTCAACTACTGGTGTTTTGAAAAATAGCAAGTTCCAATAGATGACCGAAGTCATTTATTGATGGTACAACGGTGTTTTATTGTGCCAATATCTGACCGGTCGTTGAATTGGTATTTATTTGATTGTTTTTGTCAAATCTTATTGAGAGATTTGTTAAGAAACTATTAAAGACTACTTCAGAATTCAATTTGGCAAGATTAACCTAATAGAAACTTTTTTGTTAACTAAAACATGTAGTCGCCTCTCGGATACTATACTATATAGTATTTGACCGACTTTAGTCAGATTATGCGGTGAAAAATTTTCATGAATTATTTTCGATGTTCTAAAAATTAAATAAAATCTGGAATATCTATTCATTGTAATGATTATAAGTTCAACAATAGTTAAAAATAAATTTCAGGGTCATAAAAAATGCAGTTAATAATAATTTTCAGACTTTTTTATGAAAGCGGTCAACTACTGGTGCGCGGTCAACTACTGGAACATTTACCCTAAAGCTTTTTTACTAGCTTGCAACTTTTTTTTTTTTAATTGCTTAGCAATTTTTTCTTCTAATAATTTGTTCCTTAATATAATAACCGTTCACGAGAAAAATTAGAACAAAATAAAATTTACCAACCAAAAAAAATTTTAAGTATTATTTTAACTATAAACATACATTTTTAAATTATTATATTTACATTTACAAAACATTGAATGACTTAAGTACTTTTAACACTTGACAGATTTAATTTTGAGGTTAAGTATTCGTATTATAATTTTGTATTATAAACGGTCATTATATGCGGTCATTAATTGGATCGTGATAAAATCAGAGGGTTTAGTAGATGACCGAATGAATTTTTTACTGGGTAATGAGCCTCTGACGGATCCAATAGTTGACTGGTCTTAAAATAATATAAAAACTTATAATTTTCCATAAAAGGTGAAATTTGATCTTTAATTAACATAATAAAACTAAAGTTTGTTATATATTATGCCAATTAATATCACTAAATTAATGATGAAATGTACTCACCTTCCAATTGTACTCAAGTTATTTTTGACCGGTTTATGGCTCGTCGCGTTGTAAACAAACACATAATATTTTTTTAAAGCCATCATTACTGCACAATGAATTGCGTAATTTTTTATTATGATGATTAAATGCCATATTTTTTTTTAATACATTTAGAAAAAAAAACCCTTGTAAAATATTAATTAATTGACTTTTTTATACATCGGTCAACTAATGGGTGACCGGTCAACAACTGGTGCATTTATCCTATGCAAAAATTGACAGAAATTTTTTTTTAATTTTATAAAAATTAAATTTTTATAAAAAAATTGCACGTGTCAAAATTATAAAAAAACATTTGTGGAAATTTTTTATTTCAATTGAATTTTTATAAAAATTAAAATAATTTACAGATAACTTCAGTGTCATTACTGAAATTTAGAAACATTTGATAATTTTTTTAATAAATAAATTAGAGCAAAAAAAATTTAATTTAAATACTTAAAAAAACTAAAAATAATTTTCTATAACTAATTAAAAATAAAAATATTATTCCAATTTATTTCCAACTGATAATTTCATTGTCATGAAAAAACTTTGATAAGCTGTCAAATTTTTTTTTTTTAGTTTTTCAATGTTAGTTTAATTCCGTTGCTTCCTTATTCCGCGTTCGCGGCCCTCTGTGTGTTTTCAAAGTGTACCGGAGTAAATAAGCCGGAATTTCAACGTCGCATTGTTTGACTTCCCGGACAGACGGCTAGGGCGACGATAAAGGGACCGACTGGTACAGCGACAAGACCACGAGAGACAGCCGCTGATTTGCCAGGAGCCAGCAGCCACGATCATCACTCCAAACTGGACACCAGGAACTTTTTGTTGCTGTTTTAAAATTTTAAAAAAAATCAATAAATATTTCAATTAATTTAATCAATATATTTTTAAATCAAAGTTCTTGAAATTTATATTTATGATAAATTAAAAGACAGCTGATAATTTTATTTTAATTATTGAAAAAAAAAATATTCAAAATTTTTATGTCTGTAATTTTAGATTATTATTTAAAATTTCGCTTGCAAGAATTTAATTTTTAAAACAAAAACTAAAAAATTATTATTAGATGTCTTTTAATTTTTTAGTTAGGTTTTTTTTTTAAAATACTTATTTTTTTAATTGACTCACCTATTCCTAATTCACCTTGTAGATGATGGATCCTTTCAATAATTCTTTGATGAATAATTAATAATGAATTCTTCAAATAAGTCTCTAAATAAGGAGACAAAATAATTAATATTAATTAGGTACTTAATTATTCATAAAATAAAAGAAAATATTACACTTCTCTTTACACTCTTTTCTAAATTGTAAAAATTCAATATAATAAAAATAGTATATTACGTCCTACTATCCCTCCCGTGGTGCGTATACGATTTTTTATCAGACCAGGATCGAAAGTTCGATTAAAATCTAAATAATAAAGTTAGATATTGAATCAGGTTAGTTATCATTAGTGCGCATGCTTCGATTTTTTAAATTTGATGTTCAGTTTTTTTGACTACGTAACTAGGCATTAAGTTGTTTATTCATTTATTTATAAAAATTTGCAAACATATTAGCCGATCGCGATAATATCAACTTACATTCGAAATTAAAACCAGAGAGTAAATTTGTAAAATTTAATAAAGTATTTAAATAAAATGAGTTCTGATGAATCGGGAGCTGAATTGAGTGAAGAAGAAAATAATAAAAAATTTGGATGAAGCGGCAAAACAAATTAGCAATAATTTGTTGCCCGAAAAATCAAAAGTTCGGTATAACTTGTGTTATTAAGAATTTTTATTGTGGCAAAGAAAAAAGAAAACCGATTCTTTCAATGAAAATGTGTTGTTAGTTTATTTTCACGAACTATCGAAGACTTTGAAGCCGCCAACGTTGTGGAGCCGATGGTCCATGCTGAGGACTACTATAAATCTAAGAAATGGGATTGATATCAATAACTATCATAATTTAAAAGTTTTTATTAAAAATTGTGCCAAAGGGTACCACTCTAAAAAGGCTCGTGTTCTGACATTAAGTCAAGTAAACAAATTTCTTAATGATTCTGATGATTTGAATAATCTAGCGAATAAAGTAAGTAAAATATGTACAATTAACTATAATATTTAACTATAATATATAAAATACATGAAATTTTTTTAATTAATATTAACAATTATTATTTACAGGTTATCTTGACATTTGGAGTCTTGGGCGCACTCAGAACCAGTGAAATATGTAATCTGAATATTCAGGATGTTGAAGACACTGGAAGTCAAATGATAGCTACAATCAACGACAACAAAAATTGCTACCCTCGTAATTTTGTTAATGGAAAAGAATACTACGGTCATGTAAAGAAATATATTGCTTTGCGGCCAGATGATTTTGATAGTAGGCGTTTTTTCTTTGCTTATCATTCGGGAAAAGGTAAGCGCCAAATTATCGGGAAAAATAAAATAAGCAAAGTGCCGATAAAAGTTGCCGAGTATTTGGAGCTAGAACATCCGGAAGCCTACACCGGTCATTGTTTTCGGCGTACAGTGGCAACGTTACTGGCAAATTCTGGTGCAAATTTAACAGCAGTAAAACAGTTGGGTGGATGGCGATCCAGTACCACAGCAGAAGGTTATATTGAACATTCTTTAGCAAACCGACGACAAATCTACCAACAAATAATTTCTTCTCACCAAGAAATTTCACCTCGTTCTACTTCCAATTGTCAAGTTCCATCTGCTACTATCACCAACAAAGCTCCATCTACCTCCACTGCCAATCAAAACAATCCAAAAACAAATTTGAATGATGATGATGTGCCCGTAGAAAATTTCTTACAGCCTGATTCCGATGATGATCTTTTTTTTGAAGCTTATTTGGATGATGATTTTGATAGTAATATAAATTTAAATCCATCTGCGATTACTGAAACTGATGATCATGTTCCAAAATCTACAGAAATTATTAGTACACCTGAGCATAAATCAGTTCCAAAAGTGGATTCAACTCAGAAAAGAAAATTGAATGAAATTCGCAAAACAGCTTGTGCTGAAAGCTTCAAAAAACTTAAAAAATTTCAGGGTGACTCAAAACCATCTGTGAGAAAAAATTAAAAAATGATGAAGTAGATTCCATGACAGTAAATTCTTCATTCGTAAAAATCGAAAATTGTACTATTGGACACTTGACGATTTATAAGAATCAATGCAACTGCGACAAGATAAATATCTTATCCTTAATTTCTATAACTATCTATAGATATTGTGTAAAAAATATTGTGTTAAATACGGTCAACACAAAATAATTGTTAAAATTTAACACACTTGTGTGTTAAAATGACATAAACTTTGTGTTAAAACAACACAAAGTGCGTTGAATTTTAACACTAATTTTGTGTTGACCGTATTTAACACAGAAATTGTGTTGATTTTACACAATATTTTTTACTGTGATCAGTTTGTTTATCGTTACTATCCTTGATTAAGAAACAGTATTGAGACAAAAAAAAAGTATTGAAAAGTATTGGTTTTTTAATCAATCCAATACTTTTTTCTTTGTCGAAATATTTGTTTTTATTCCGGGATTTGTGATTAATGTTATTTATTAATTAATTTTAATTAAATGCTATCTAAAATATTAATTTGTTGATTAATTTGAACAATTACAATGAGTTTGTTTGTTAAAAAAAAACAAAAAAAATAAACAAATATAAATTCTGATCTCAACAAGGTTTAAGTTAAAGCTCGATAAAACATTAATGAATATAATTAAATTCTAGAATCAGGTAAGTAATTATCAATATTCATATGCTTCGATTTTTGTATTTTTAGCAGTTCAGTTGTTTTGACTCTGTAACTAAGCATCAAGTTGTTTATTTATTTACTCTTAGTATCTTGTCAACATAATAAGTTATAACTGTTAAATAAACTGCTGTACCATTATTAATTAAATTTAATAATATTTTTGTAATCAAATCAAAATGAGTTACCAGCCTAAAAAAGTTGGAGTGTTAACTTTAAGTCAAGTGAAAGATTTTCTCAATCAAGCTGATGATTTGACCAACTTAGCGAATAAAGTAAGTATATATTTACAATTTAATATAATAAATAAATAAAGTTTGTACAACTTTTTGAATTATTATTTACAATTTAATATAATAAATAAAGTTTGTAGAAGTTTTAAAATTTTTATTACAGGTTATCCTGATATTTGGAGTCTTTGGCGCACTGAGACCGCATGAAATTAGTATTATTAATGTTCAGAATGTTAAAGATACTGGGAATCAATTTACAGTCACAATCAATGACAGCAAAAATTGTTTCCTCCGTAATTTTACTATCGATCAAGAATATTACGGTATCATTCACAAGTATATTTCTTTGCGGTCAAAAGACTTTGATGACCAACATTTTTTTGTGACTTATAATATGGGCCAATGTAAGTCCCAAGTTATTGGAAAAAGAAAAATCGCTGAAGTGCCGAAGATAGTGCCGAAGAGCCGAAGGAAGAGCTGAAGTGCCGAAGAGCCGAAGTGCCGAAGAGTTTTTGCAGCTAGAACTTCCAAAAACCTATAGTGGTCATTCTTTTCGGCGATCAGCGGCCACAATAATTCCAAATTCTGGTGGAAATTATTAGAAAATCAACCTTCAACAAAAAATCAATCTTCACAAAAAATATTTTACTTTTACCAATTAAACAGTTCCAAAAATTAATTCAAGAAGAGAAATCAAATCGAAAAATAGGTATATTTTGACATTTAAAAGAAACGTGAATTTAGGTATTTGCCGAAAATTTGAAGCATGCGCACTAATTTATTTATTTATTTAGTCGGGAGGCAATGTAGCACTTTCCTCGCTCAAAATAGAATCGAAATACGAACTTTCGATCCAGGTATGATAAAAATAGCATACACTCCTTGGGAAGTAAATAAGAAAGCCTCAGATTACATGTGATCTAAGACATTTCTTACTTTACTTCCTTCGGTGTGTAATATACTATTGCTAATAAAAAAATAAATTAAGTTGATCCTAAAAAATTATAATTACTTATTATTTACTAGCAACCTGCAGTCACTATGCAACTGCCGAGATCCCTGATTTAGAAAGATGATTTGAAATGATTACCTTCATGTTAATTGTATATCTATATGGTATTCAAATCCGATGCATTTAAATCATTTCAAATAAGATTTCTTAATCAGGGATTTACAAATTATGAATAAGGAAACTTTGGCTTAATGATGTTTTTATATTTATAATCACACGGTGCATAGTTTGGGGACTTATTAAATTAATTTTTTAAAAAATGGTGCTATCACAAGAACAATAACAAATAATTCGAAGGACAAATGTGACTGAACCAATTTATAGAACCAACAAACTAAGGTACTTATAATCGGTTTTAAAAATTTGTTTATTGATTATTTTGTAATGGTGATTAACTAAGTACATAAGGAAATAGATTTTAAACTTCCCACTAAAAAAATCGAAGATTTTCAAAAATCACGAAGTTATTGTTTTCACCCCGTTTTGCAAAAATCAAGTTTTCATCAGATCTCGACGTTTGACGGTCACAGGAAGCTTCCCTGACTATCCCCGCGAGGTTGTCACTATGTCTGTATGTATGTATGTATGTATGTATGTATGTATGTATGTATGTATGTATGTATGTATGTATGTATGTATGTATGTATGTATATGTATGTGTGTGCATGTGCGTATGCATGTGTGTGTGTGTGTGTGTGTGTGTGTGTGTGTGTTTTTTTTTTTTTTT